TGGAACTCACATATTTCAGCCAAGTAGATACTGATCAAATAGAAAATTTATTTTTTCAGTGTAGTGAGATCATATTTTGTTCAAAAATAAGATAAAAAAACCTGTTTAACATTTGAAGTTTATTGGATCTATCAATAGGAAATATTACTAGAGAGAACATATGAAAAACTCTTTGTTTAAAATATGTCAGTATGCTGAAGTGTTTAGTGGTTTCATTAAGAAATATTGTGAATGATAATAGTTTAAACAGTATTTATGATATAGCTATCAATATTGTTGAGAAATTCATATTTTTTCGTATTACCAGGTGAGAAATCGATACATTTTTTCATAAACGAAAATTTGATAAAAGTTTCCCAGTGGATGGAAAAGTTCCGAATTGTAAATACACTGAAGTGGACTCAAGCTCTAGAATAAGGTATTCGTGTGAGAAAAAAAGATTAAAATCTTCATCTGTTTATTGTAGGTGGTAGAAGTAACGAATGTAATAGTAGCATAAACTGGATTACAGGATTTACTGCCGTATGATTTAGTGCCTTTGTAAACATTTATTTATTATTCATATATATTTATTTTTCAGAAGTTTTTGTGGTGAGTTATATGATTATGTTAGATAAACATAATGATCGCAATGCAAAGGTTTTCAATGTCAAAAGTTCGTTTCTCATATCAATGGTTCGTGATATTAGATTGAAATCTAACTATAGTTTGTGATCAATTTATTCTATTTGCATCTCAAAGGTTTATTTTTTATCTCAAACTTTCGTAGAAACACGTTGATCTTTATCAATAGTTCGTAATTTGAATAAAAAAATTGAGCAATAAGTTTATTTTCTAGCTCAAAGGTTTATTTCTCATCTCAAACGTTCGTGAAAATACATTGAAATCTAAGTATAGTTTGTAATCAATTAAATACATTCAAATAAAAAGTTTTCTATTTACATGTCAAAGGTTTATTTCTCATGTCAAACGTTCGTAAAAATACATTGAAATGTAACTATAGTTTGTAAAGGTTTTTAAGAAAATAAAAAGCTTTTTTTTTACTTTTCTAGCTCAAAGGTTTATTTTTCATCTGAAACTTTCCCGTAAATAGATTTAAGCTAGACAATGGTTAGTAATCGAATAGATAAATTAAATGATACGAATTTTGTAATTTAATGACTTTCTTATTGTTTGAAATGGAAATGTTTCGAAATGATTAAAACAGTCTATTAAACGGATTTTGTAGTTCAACTATTATTTCTATTGATACTTATAGAATATATTCTCAAAAAATTTACGAAGCTAGAGGGTTAAGAAAATTCTTATTTTCACGATATGGAATACTAAATAAGTCGTATCTTAATTGTTTGTTGCGATCATTATTTTATCCGAACTATAATTCATATAACTCACCAGTATTCATTCATAAATGGTTAGATGAACGTATATAACAATGCCATTTCATATTTCAGGTAAGTTATTTTAACAAGAGATGTTAGCGTTGCTTTGAGTAGTCATGTTAATGAAAGAAAAGAGGAACGCGCCATTTATTAAATTGATTTAATGATCATGATTGCTTATTTGTGATCAAAAGGAAATGTAATATTATGTGTACGAAATTTCATGAAGTTCCGCTTTCTTAAATTGTCCTAAAAATTATACTAATATTGAAGAATAAATGATTCAAATATTTCGAACATTATACATGATACGACTTAGAGACAAAGAAAGTATATTAGTAATGACGGCTGAGGTTTTTTTACAGAGAATAAGAATGGTTCATATGAAATGTGTTTTCTTCGATATTTTCATTGTAATGTGTTGATATATAATTGGTTAAACGAAAGGAACAAATAATTCTTATTCTTTTGTTTGAATAAACCAAAAAAGAAAAGGTCGTAATATTAAAGGCAAAATAGTTTTTTTTAATGCTTCCTAATCAGAAAGTTTTTTAAGCGATTCTATCTAAAATATCTTTTTAATAATTTGAATGTTCGATAAATAGTGAAGTTGCTTTTCTGATCGTATCATCTGATTGCGTATATCGAAATATTGAGATGGTTAGCAAATTAGATATACTTTATTCTTTCTCTGTTAAGATGCTTTTTTATGAATAAGAATGGACGATCAGACAGCTAAAGAGTTCACTTTATACTGATTAAGATAAATGAAGATTCATAAGATTATATAAGCACTGAAATGGAATCAATTAGATCATTTATACGATATTGCGTCGAAAGAGTGTTTTAAAAATTAGTATATATGTATTACATATGCAGAGTATCGGGAAACGAAGTCGAATGAATAATGAGTCAAACTTATTGATCAATAGGAAAATTAGAATTTGATTCATAGAAATCTTATTCTTTCGAAAAAAATTGAACTTTGAAATAATATATGGTTAATTGTAGTTGTTTTATTTTCTGGATTTATTACATTTATATTTTATAAATCGTACTTTTATTTTTATTTAATAGTGATTTTATTATATGTACTTATCAAATAAATTATTTATTTGATTTTTTCAATCTAATATCAATCTATAGAAGTAAACGTATTGATGAATGGGTAAATTTTTGAAACTATTTTTCGTTATAGTATCTGATAATCGGTTGATGAAGAAAAGTACAATTTGTGAATATTGAGAGCTTCATATTTTATAGAATTAAAGTTGTTATAGCATGAAAAAAATTATTTGATAGTTGGTGAATAATTCCTAAGAATCATTACTATTAAAAAAGCAGTGATGCCAAACGAAATGACATACAGGTATGAGCAAGGGGGAACAAACTGCATTGTTTCGCAGGTCATTAATCTTCGAAAATTAAGGTGCCTGAGCTACCATATACAATGGGGAATCAAGAGGAACAACCACTTTCGATGTTCGTTCATACGTAAAACCTAGCTTGTTCATTCACCGCCATAAGGACGATGTCGAACAGAGCGAAAAATCAGAATCATTACTAATAATTCGAGTGATAACTTAATCTACGGTCGGGTAGATCCAGTCAGCCAACATCAGATGAACATGTTAACTACAAACAGTGTACATATATTAAATAGTTTCTTCTGCTGGGCACTGTTACCAAACATTTTCTTTTTGATGTTCTGTCAAACTACACTGAAAACAAAAATGGTGATATACGAAACTATTTTTACAACGAAATCGAAACCCTTCTGAAGGTTTCGTGTCACCCTATGATGCCTCTGTTAGATTTATTGAAAACTGAACAATTTGTTTTTGAAGGTTTTGTAGTTTTCTTACGAAACTCTCAAAAGGTTTAGAATTCGTTGCAAACTACGAAACTGTTTAAACGTTGCATTTGATTTTAAAAAATATTTTTAAAAGGTGTTTATTTACTACCAAACCATTTTTAAGTGCACGAAACCCTCTTTGGTTTGGACTAAAACCTTTTTTGTTTTTAGTGTGACAGGAGGATGACTAGAATGATCACATTTTCTTAATGATTCATCTATAAGCACAAATATTGTTAGAGTGAAATTGAATGGAGTGGTTACTGACGAAGACGATGATGACGATGATCTGGGATATGGATTTTGAATCCGAACAGTAGCTTGAATCACCGCATCTTCTTTCTCCTGTTGCTCTTGATTCAACTTCTTCTGTAAGTGAATCAATTAATTTTGTTTTTCTATTATCTCTCGTTTTTGTTTTCTCGTTTCCTTCTTCAGTCTTTCACCTGAAGACATTGAAATACCAAAAATGGATTTAATCTGATCATTTACATTGTGCAACGGAACTAAGCAACCACGTTTTTCATGCTCTACAAATTTGATCACATTAAACATTATTTGCTTTATGTCACGCAAGAAATCAAGACGTTTAGGCATCTTGTCGATCGATGCAATATGCTTGAATTATAAATTACAGGGAGCTGCTTTTATTCTACTTGAATTATGCAACAGAACTAGCGAGGTATACTTACGTGTAATTCAGTGAGAAAAAGAATATTCCACTATCAACATATGGCTTATATTTTTATTAGTACATGAAAAACAACTTTTCAAGGTGGTACTCAGTCTGTGATAAGTCGTCAAAAAAGAAAATCGTATGTGACATCAATACCAAAATAAACGCATCTCTACTTCAGCCAGACATACTAAAGACATATTCAATTCGTAGGAGTACATTATACCATTATAGATTGTGTCGACAATACTCATTCTGTCGTGTAAAATAATTAATAGTGATTTTACACGATAAAATGACTTTTACAACATAAACAGTTTCGTTTAATTCAGAATAATCAATAATCAATAGGCATCAAATTATAAAATATTCAAAAACAACTAGCAAAAAAACGATGTTTCGAGCGTTTTTGAGTATCAAAGTGAGGTATGTCATTTTTGAACAAAACAAAATAAAAATTTCGGATTTGTATAGAATTGTAGATCATGAGCAGGCAAATCTAATGTACTCCTTATAATTCAAATGTTATTTGATTTTTATAGGCCTTTATCTGCTGCTTGGGAGTTTACTCGCGGTTTATTAATATCACAAGATAGAATCATCTATAGCAAGTTGCAAAGTGCTCCCTTCTATCGAATAGTGAAAACTACAGAGCGATAGCTATTTCTGTTTAAAAGTTAATCAAAACACAACCACTCTTCTTCTCTTTTGAAATAGACAATAGTTGATTATTTTCATTCCATTTGCAATTTCTTTTTTGACATCATTTGGGATATTTTGTGTATTACTGTGCGCTTTACATAACTAGACTTACATTAATAGATAGAAAAATTACTAACATTTAAGAAAGCAAAACAAATTCTATTAATACATTTACTAAGGGAAATCAGCTGAAATCAGTTGAAATCGCTTGAAATCAAAAACTCCATGTGAAATCATGAAATCAGTTTGTTCCCCTTGGGTATGAGTAATAAAAATATACTGTTGTATGATCACGCATTGTAAAAATACAGAAAAAATTCTTATCTTGTAAGTGAATATAATTTGTTTATTGATTAATGAAGTGTTTACTATGTAAATGAAAAATTCAGTTTATTTTTTTCCAGGATAAAATAGCATTATTACATTCAATATCTTTACATCGAATAGAGTATGTATAGTTTTTAGTGTTTATCATGATGGCTACGGTATTACGTTTATGATGGCCCTTCTTTTTTGGACAATATCTGTAATTACCTGCTATATTGAAAAATAATAAATCTTTATTGTAAATACCACGAACACACGTATGTACATAACCTTGGTATGACGGTTCAGACGTAACTATATTTTCTACGAAGTTTAGAAATAGTTGTATATCCTTTACAGATGAATTTAAATGATTGATTTTGTTCAAATGTATTAAATTTTGCGGAGTGTGACTTTTACTAGCATTCGTAGATGGTTTCGAAAATGTCAACGGTTTTATATGTTGATTAATTAAATTTATATTGATCAAATTATATGAGAATGTGGCTATTCGATTAGAAATGGACGATAAATTTATGTCAAATTTGTCGCCATTTAAATAAACTTTTGGTATGTGATCGTCTTCCATGTATGTGATTAAAGACTTCTTAAGAAGATTATGAGATGAATATTCTAATTGATAATGAAAGGGAAATGTAGTGGAAGGAACAAGTGGATTGTTCTTTCCGTATTTGACACAAATAAATAAACGAAATTGTTGATTGTTTGAATAAACATTTGTATCAATAGCTAAAGTCCATTCATTTCCTCTATTTTGTACAAGCAAATATGCAATATCAGCGATTGAAACATATGGAATGGATGTATTACATTGGCGACAATGGTTTCGTAGTGTATGTATAAATGGAACTAGTTGATTGGTCAAGTTTGATGCATTATTGAATTGTTCTATTGGTATATCCATATTAAACATTGCACATTTATGTTGAACAATTGCTAATAGTAAAAAACGAATAATAGCCTTGATAAATATTCCAAGACTTGATATACTTTCAAATAAAATTGATGGATTTGCATTGATGAAATGATATGATATTTTTTCAGTTGTTGATCTAAAGACAACAAATTTGGGAAAATATATTAGAAAAGGTCATACTATGTGTATATAGATTTGTCAACAATTTCCATATTAAAAAAGGACAACAGTAAACCGATTCTTTGTCAGTTGAAAAGAAATTATTACTTACGCTTCTAAAACAAGAAATTGTTTTAAAATATTTTCAATATAAATTTCAACTGTATTAATAGTATCATCCGGAGCATTTAGAAAATAATAAAGAACTTTAAGACAACACATAGGACCAATGTAATGATTTTGTATATTAAGATTTTTATCTATCAAATATTCGAAATCAATATATGTTCTGACTGGCTTGTTTATCGAAATCGATTCATATAAAGTTCGTTCTGTAGTAGGACAGCATTCGAATAATCTTAGTAATTCTTCAATGCTAAGACAACAAAACTGTCTAGATTTATTTTCTTTTTCAATACTTAAAAAAATATCATTTTTGTCAATGTTTTGTTGCAGTAATTGATTATGTAAGTCAGATAAACGATGAGTTATAATTTTATGTGGAAAAAGACGTTTGATTAAATTTTGCACAGAAGTCATTATATTGCTTAGTATACTAACATATATTTCTTAGTAATTAAATAGTAATATCAGATATGAATATTATCAGGCGCTTACAAGCTTTTTTTTATTGTATTTTTGTGATACGGATACTTCGTTTAAAGTAAACTTTTAAATGATATCCTATTTAATCAAGAAAGATTCAAATAGAAATATAGTGCTATGAGAAAAAAAAAGTAGTTTAGTTTCTTTTTTGGGATTTAAAATAAAATATCAAACAATAGATTGTATGAAGGCAGAAGGTAAATATCATACTAGGCAGATAATCCTCAAGTTAAAAGTCATAACGAATAGCTAAATGGAATATTCAGGCATATTATTAGTATATTAAATCGTTCTGAAATAATTGTAGTTTTTGAAATAATAAGTGGCATTTATTTATATTTTATATAATGAAACAGAACACATATAATACGAACAAGTTTTGAAAGAAAAAATAACAATTAAAACAAGTAAATTTAAAGCTAATGAAAAATGTTCAATCATTTTGTTTTTTTCATTATAACAGACTATATTGATTAAATATTAATAAACTTAAATCGTTAAAATAAATCAAATAATGGCTATACGAGTATTTGCCATAGTAACAAGTGTACGCGATCCTAAGTATTTAGAAAACTTTGATGTAATTTTTATAAATTTGTTTGAATTAACTTACCATTAAAGAAATCAACTTTGATATTTTTTATTTTTAAAGTTTTTTGAATGATAGATTTAGGAATCGTTTTAGCCTAATAAAAATAAAGAATGAATGGAATAAATGTTAATTTAATTATACCTGCTCATTCCATAATGTTAATTTAATATGGACACTATTAGGGGTGATATCTTCACCCTTCTCTTTATTGAGAAAAACGATAACTACCTAATAATAAACAAACCAAACGAAACGAGAAAACCAACACACATCTCTCTCTCTCCTCCCCCGAGAGGACAACAAGAATATATATGTATATATATATATGACGATAGATGTGGCGGATGACTAGAGATGCAAGAAGAGTACATGAAAAGAGAATAATAGTATGTGAGGGCATCAGCCCGTAACAGTCGACCCCCTTGAATGAAGACGTGTGTCCGCACACGTGTTTGAGGAAAAGAAAATACAAGGAGTATAAACAGAAAATGTAGCTCAAAAATAGAAAGACATAACAAGAAAATGTATAACAGTTTGAAAATAGAAAGGCATAAGAAGAAGAAAAAACAACAACTAATAGATGTTTTAACAGTTAGATCTGACAAACAACCAAAGTTTAATTGAAAAAGAAAAATTTTTTTTATTATTATTCTTGGTCGAGGTGTAGGTGTTTGCGTATTCGATAATAATGTTCCTCGGTGAATATACCACTGTGTAAAATTTCGTCGGCTTGTTTTCGGATGTGTTCGTTCTTTACACCCAGGAATAACATTTTCCCGACAACATTAAAGTTCACATACGGAATATTCATAAATATTAAAATCTTTTTAATGTTTCGTGTAGTAAATTTGTAATAAACTGACCGGATGATCTCAAATTGATAACGTTTTTCACGTTTTTTTCTATTTTTCCTTTGGTTTCTGGTTAACGGTTGACGTTGATGTGAATGTTGATTAACCGGTCTATTTTGTTCTATATCATCGTCTGAAATAATTCCTATTTCATTCGATGGTTCATTTTGCGCATGAACCCCGATTAATGTATCATCATAATCAAGTGATTTCCCATTATATAATGGTTGTTGATGTGGTAAATGGAGTTTCATTATCTCCGGTAAAGATATGCCCTCGAACTCATCGTCGCTTATCATTTCATAGGGTTCATTTTCTACATGAATCCCTATGAATGCATTATGTATTGGTTCAATATGTATATGATCATCATTTAATTCAGAAATTTCCCGTTGTACATGAATTTCGACATCATGATTGATTTCATCTGATAAAAATAAATCACCTGGTACTTGATCTTGTTCATAATTGATAAGTTGTTTATCATCATATATGTTTGATATTAGCTTTGTTACAGCTAAACAATCATTTAAAGCGTATATAATCATTAATCTCCTATATTCTTCTTCATTTTCAATAATTTGATTTTTCTTCTTAATATATTCTTGTGATATTGCAATTGTATATAATGCGGGATCAAGTCCACACCCCCAATTTGCAAGGGTCATTCTCTTATCCAACCACTGGTTGAATGCTAGGTAAATGGCCATTTGAAGTGAATATGTTTCTTGAGCTTTGCGTTGTACATGAGATGATGATGGATGATTTTCATGAAACCACTCTTTGAATTTTTGTTGTATATTTTTATCATTGATCTGGTGAATATCATTGCGATCAAATAAATTATATTGGTAAAATTTGGAGAGTTCATCTTTGATGTCGCCCCATGAATAAATAATGTGATTGTCGGAGAAAATGGTTCGACAAAGCGTTTTTATTTTGTCGAATGTTCTTGACTGTTCAACAGGTAAATGCATTGTCTCGATAAGTATTAAAATAGATGGATGATTTTTATATACGAATTCGATTTGGATCAATGCAGCTGTTGAAGGTTTAGGTGGGTCTTGTAATTGGCATTCCGTATCCAATGTGTAATGTGTTGTGTTCATAGCATATTCAATTAAATTATTTAATACATCAATAGATGTTTCACGATGAATATGGTAATATCTATAATTAGATGTTGATATTTGAAAGATATCACATTTACCTTCTTGGACAAGTTCTTCATATTTTTGTTTTCCAACACTTTCTTCGATTGATATTTGTTGGTTAATCGATCTAATTTTTCTAATGGGGAAACATAATATGATTGATTTGAATAACGTGAAGAATATCGATTATAATTTTTGTTCGTTGAATAAGTAGATTTTGACATTGATGTATATGTATAATGTGCATGTATTGTTGTAAATATATTTAATGGTGGTGAAGACGACGAATAAATGAAAATGTAAATAAATATCTAAAATGAAAGACATGTATGACCAGGACTTTCCTAGAAAAGTCCTCTTATCGTTCTATCTCATTTACATGAACCCGTATGAGGTTCATTTCTAACGTATATAAATTATCATTGATCGTTTAATTAATTAATATTCATTGTAATGATAATAATGGTCATAATTGATAATGTTTCGTTCGGTAAAGTAAATAACAAATATATCCATGTATGAGTAATATGTGGATTTTCCATTTTTTCGTTCTTTCTATTTTTTTTAAAGTTCTATTTGAGATTCCGTCTTTGTGTAATTGATACTATGATGTCGCTAGTGACTTGTTTCGTTAATGTAGGTATCTTCACATGTTGTACGATAAATGTTTTTGTGCTGAGTTTTTTTGTTATCCGGAACGGTCCTTCGTATCTCGCGTCGAATTTATTGCGCATATTTAATATTTTAATTAATACTAATTCACCGATCGTGTGATTTGGATTGGAACGATGTTGATCATAACGTTGTTTGTATTTCTCTTGCTGTTCCAATATTTTAATTTTTGCTTGTTCGGTTAATGTTGATAAATATTGATTTAATTTTAATCGATGCTCTGGGTCTTGTGAAAGTGTAATTAATGGTTGTTGTTGATCGAAAGGTAATATTGGTGATCGACCATGCATTAATTCAAATGGAATTTGTCCGGTTGTTGTGTGAATACTTGTATTGTAATTGAATGTAACAAATGGTAACTGTTCATCCCAATTTGTACGTTTTTCATTTGATAATGCTGCTATTTTGGCGTCCATTGTTGCATTAAATCTTTCAATTTGTCCATTAGTCATCGGATGGTAAGGTGTTGAATATAAATGTGTAACACCGATTTTTTTTAATAATTCGGTCATCATTGTAGCGGTAAAATGTGTACCGTTATCTGTAAGAATGCATTTTGGAGTGCCATATTTAAGGATAACTTCTTCGGTAACAAAACGGGCTGCTGTTGTGGCAGTGCAATCACGTACTGCTTTAGTAATAACAAATTTTGATAAGACATCGGTTAATGCAATAATATATTTATTGCCATTTTTCGTCGTTGGTGTAATAGGTCCATGGAAATCCATAGTAAGCAATTGCCATACTCCTTCAGGAGGTTTGATTGGTTTGAGAGCGCCAGGAGGTTTTTGTCGTAGATGATTATTTTGTAAACAAGGTAGACATGACTTAACATAATTCCGTATATCATCAATCATATTAGGCCAAAAATATCTTTGTCGAATTTTGTGAGTGGTTTTATTTCGACCAAAATGTGCTCCATTCGCTGGTGTATCATGATAAATTTTAATAATGTCGGAGCGAATTCGTCCTTTGGGTACAAATGGTACCGGTGGGGACGATTTTTTCAGTAACATATTATCTTCTAAAAAATAATCATTGAAATCTTTAATATGTGATATCATGTGTTTTGTTTGTTTATCTTGATGTTGTAACTGTTTTAATTGTTCCCATGTAAATGGTACAATCATATTATGATCATTGCTAACATCCATTATATGTGATTGTGGTGGTTCTACAACACAGGAATGATCGACCTGTTTGTCGTCATTCCTCTTTTGTTGTGCTTCATCACAGGAACGATCGACTTGTCGGTCGTCATTCCTCTTTTGTTGTCTTGTTTGCGCCCTTGTAGTGACGGATGCAACGACATGTGTTATTGTGAAATTGTCGGTTTGTGTTGATCGGGATGTTGTTGGTGTATAATCATCTTCATCATTCATTCCATTATCGACTGGTGATCGGGATAAATAATCAGCTACGGTATTATGTTTTCCTTTAATGTATCGAACAGTAAATTGATATTGTTGTAATTTTAAACGCCATCGTTCACATTTTGAATTTAATTGTTGCTTCAAGTTGAATGGTAATAATGGTTTATGATCTGTTTCGATAATGAATGAACGACCATCTAAGTACTTGTGCCATTTTTCGATTGCGTATATAATAGCGTAACATTCTTGTTCTGTTGCAGGCCAATTCATTTGTGTTGGTGTAAACTTCTTTGATAAGTAAGCGACTGGTAGATCACCGTGTGAATGAGTTTGCATAAGTACAGCTCCAATTCCAATTTTTGATGCATCCGTTTGTATCTTGAATGGTAAATTTTGATCTGGAATTCGTAATATCAAATCATTGGTTAATATTTTCTTTAATTTATTAAATGCATCAAGTGCATCATCAGATAGAGTAATAGGTGTCGCTTGTGATTTTTTTGATCGTTGTTCTTTAGTTCTCGGTGCATATTGATGTAAAGGTTGTGCAATGGTGGAAAATGCGGGTATAAATTTACGATAATATTCCGCAGCTTTGACGAATCGAAAAGCTTCTTTTGCTGTTGTTGGCTGTCGAGTCTCTACTAATGCGCGGATGTTGTCTGCATTCGGTCTAATATTGCTGTGTTCAATATGATGACCCAAATAATCTATCGCTGTTTGTGCTATTTGACATTTATTAATATTGAGACGAAAATTTGCATCATTTAATCGATTTAGAATATCATCGAGGTGGTGTAAATGTTGGTTAAATGTTGTTGAATATATAATAACATCGTCGAGATAAGCTAATGAATATTGCCATCTGGTAGGTCCGAGTATTTGACTAACGATGCGTTGAAATGCTGGAGGACCATTTGTAACACCTTGAGGTAACACTGTAAATTGGTAATGTTGATCTCTGGTAGAGAATGCTGTTTTTGGACGATCTTCCGGATCAAGGCCAACTTGAAAATAACCAGATTTAAAATCAATTGTAGTATAATATTCGGCTTGAGATAAGTGGTCAAAAATATCATCAATACGAGGCATAGGAAATGCATCCTTCGTAGTAATATTGTTTAATTTTCTAAAATCAATACAAAATCGAACAGAACCATCTTTTTTTCTTACCAATACTATTGGGGATGACCACGGCGAGATAGATTCTTCGATTATTCCTTGCTTGAGTAATTTATCAATTTCGTCTCTTTGCATTTGTTCATCCTTGTATGAAACCCGATATGGTGAAGTATAAGTTGGTGGATGAACACCAGTTTCAATGGCATGATGAACTGTTGCTTTAATGGTGGACGGTTGACGAATGTCAAATAGTTTTCCATGTTTCCATAAAATATTTTGTAATTCTTTTCGTTGTTTTATGTCTTCGATGTGTTGGGTGAGTTTCTCGATTTGTTCTCGCATTTCTGATGGATAACATTTTTGGCGTAAATGTTGTTGTAAATCATTTCGGGATAGAAATTGTTCTTGACAAACATAGCATCGATGTTGTTGTGCTTCATCATGTTCTTTTCCACAGGTAAAGTCCGTAAATCGGACCTTCCTCTTCTCTCGGAATAATGGATCACAGGAACCACTCTTTCGAGTGTTGTTCCTCTTATAATTAAATGATTTTGAATATGTTGGTTGATAATTTTCGTCTTCTGATAATACTGGTAAAATACAATAATTATTTAATTCAGTCTGATATGAAATATGTCCCAATTTTGTATTCTTTGATAGCGTACGTTGACGATCATTGACATTGATAATCATAATCTGACTTGTATTATTTTCCATTTTGAGTATAGCATTTGCAAGTAATATTTGTTTCGAATATAAATTGTGAGCTGGTTCAAATAAAACATCAATAGTATTTTTTATAGGTGATGCAGTTTTTACGTTAATAAGTTTTTCTGAATATGGTGGTAGTGTAATTTCATCGATCAAAAGTATAGTTAAATGAATATCAGGTGGTTTGATAAATGGTGTTGTTGCTATTATTTGATAATATTTGTCGGTCAGAAAAATATGTCGTTGTGGTGAATCAATGATGACATTGTTTTCGGCGATCCAGTCATTTCCAAGTAATAAATCCGTAATAATATTTGTCGCGACATCTGCTAGAATTAATGTCGTATGACCTTGGATTTTAATTTCGAGTTGAATTTCACCAATAATGTTAATCGATGTAGAATTAGCTGACTTGTGTGATTTATGTTTATACATGAATTTCTTATGGTGGATATTTTTTAGTAATTGTTGATTAATGATGCTGACTGCAGATCCAGTATCAATAATAGCATGTTGTCGTTTACCATTAACTTGAACATTAATAAATATAGGACTTGAGAATTTTGATGTAATATTATAATTCGTTGATGGATGTTGTTTTAATTTACTGGAATGACCACCATCACGGGTTCCAGCTAGTAGAAAACCTGTGGGCAATCACGTACGCGATGGTCAGATTGTCCGCATTGATAACATCCAAATGGTTTCTTATAATAGCAATCAATTGTACGGTGATTATTTCGGTGACATATCGAGCAGGGACCATATTGACGCATATTCATAGTTGACGAATTATTTGATGTAGCTTGTTCCGGTGGAATGTGTTGTATGTTACGACGAGATGTAGACGATTGTGATTGAAGATTAAATGAACGATGTTGTGAAGGTATATGACGAATTCGTGGCGGCGATCGTGGTTGTACGTTGAAATGCTTTTGTTGTTGGTAAAGATTGTTGACTTCGCGTGTATTAGTTGTTTGTGTTTGATGTAAATGTTGTGATTCACTTGGATGTATATTTTCCGGTGTTTTTAGTGTTGTTGATGCTGTATTCGAAAAATATGGAACATACGGTGCTGTTGTTTCACGTTCCGGAACATTTTCTTCTTGTAGTTCTTGTTCGTCTTTAGCAATTTAAAAAAATGCTTGTGTTGTCCGAGCTGAGTCAGATAATGCTTTCATTTGACGTTTGATTGGAATTTTTAATGAATCGTTTATTCCATTTTCTAGCCATGATATGATCATTTTTTGTGACATCGATGGATCATATTCATGACATAGTTTAATAATAGCATCGTAATAAGATGTGATTGTTTCATCTGTTTTTTGTTTACGTTCTTTTAATTGTTCGAACAATTTTGACGATGAATCACATCTTGTAAATCTTTCCAATAACGCAAATTTCAGTTGTTCCCATTGAGTTAATGACATATTATCGTCATACCAGCGTCTTGCTTCACCATCTAATTTAGCGGTACACATACAATGTAAAATATTTTCATTTGCGTCAATCATTTTTCCAATTCTCTCAATATTGCTGATGAACTGAAAAATCTTGTATTCTTCACCACCATTGAATTTGCTCAAATTAGATAAGCATTCACGATAACATATCATCATTGCTGAGTCGTGCATATTGTTAGGCATTGTTTGAATATTTTCAGTGGTGTTGTTTAATGATCCCAGTGTTAATATTTTAACTATACGTTCAGATGTTTTTGTTAATAAATTGCCGGTTAGTTCCGGATCAATATCAATGCTTCGTAAATTGTAAGCCGTACTTGGTAATATCAGTAAAGAGAAATAATAATAATAGTAATGTTAAATTCAATTGATAGTGTTGATGTTGGATGTATAATAATTTATGGAATAATTTTCTTCGTATGTATTATAACCCTCTCAGACAATTCCTAATGGAACTATCTCTTCAATTCAATTGAGGGTTCACAGACAGTTTCCAATGAAACTACCTCTTACCAAAATAAATGAAAAACGAATTCACTTACCGAGTTGTATATATATATTTTCGTTTTTTTTCTTAATTCTGGTGGAATATAAATTTCTTCCTTTGCGTTGGTTCGTATTTTATTATTATTGAATAATAATAAAATTATCGGTCACGGCACCAAATATTAGGGGTGATATCTTCACCCTTCTCTTTATTGAGAAAAACGATAACTACTTAATAATAAACAAACCAAACGAAACGAGAAAACCAACACACATCTCTCTCTCTCCTCCCCCGAGAGGACAACAAGAATATATATGTATATATATATATGACGATAGATGTGGCGGACGACTAGAGATGCAAGAAGAATACATGAAAAGAGAATAATAGTATGTGAGGGCATCAGCCCGTAACACCCCCCCACACCCAAACACGGTCCCAAATAACCTCTCTGTATATCTTGTTCTATATATGCTTCCGATGTAAATTGTTGTGTTCGAATTAATCGCATAATCGTTTGGTGGCGCTCAGCTGAACGAAGCTCTGGTATAGGTTGACCTTCTTCGATCACAAAGACACGAATACGACATGTTTCTTTACACGTTTTTTTTTCATTTAATGTTGTAGCTGATGCTTTCGAATTTTTTTCGGATATTAGAGGATTTGATAATGTAGATTTTTCCTGATAATGAAAGAAGCATGTAATTGATAATATACTCTTCGACGATTTAAGATGTTGATTTTATACCTTTTATTTCACAACGAGAACAACCATATGCAGCAGTAGGTTCTGCTATATTCTGCAACAACGCTGTTGCAGGTTTATCATTTGTTGACCCAAGTAAACCCCCCACCCAGATTTGGAAGCCATGGCTTTCTATTACGATTGAATAAGTCGTCCTTTTTTTAGTGACGTTCTATTGCGGGTGACCTTCTATTAAGGATTTTTCAGAGAATTATTTCTATAGCTGTGCTATTTATTCTTTCGTTTGTTTCTGCTAGTTTTATTTATTTCAAGTACTGAATATGCTTTTTGCATTAATTCTATTATTGTCTATCATACATGAATCAAATAATGAAAACACAAAAATAGCAGAAAAATAAATAGAAAGAAAAACGTTTGTCCTTGTTTTATCAATTTTTTCCACATTTCTGAAATTTTTAATTGTTTACTCTTTTGTTTATTTAATTCTGCTAAATGTTGTTCTTGAGCTTTTTTAACCTCAGCTTCAATTATTTTATCTAAATCTAATTGTGAATTTGTTGATGGATAATCTATTGTTATTGGATCAAATTAGTATCCAGGGAGAGTTCGTGGTTGCACAAGTGAATCATCAGTCCATGTATAACCTAAATTTATAAATGCTCGTTTAATATCAATATTGATTAATGTTCGCTTCCATGCAGACGAAGTTAACCTTGTACATAAAACTCGTGATTGTGATGCTGATAATTTAATTTTTGATCTTGGTCCATATTTTTCAGTGAATTCTTCACTACATTCATAATAATGATGCTTGAAAACAGAAAAGACAAATACATCCAATGCTTGTATATACATTGTACACCTTTGGGAATCACAGCTGCAACAACGCCCTCTTTACGTAATAAACGAAGTGTTGCATCATTTAAATGTGTGGATGAACTGTCCGTAATAAATAATTTTGGTTTGTTATCTTTAATTTTTGATATCCAGTAATTAATATATTTATCCATTGTCTGTCTACTATTGACTGCTTTTGGAGTAAAAAACACTTTAATATCTTTAGCATATTTTGCTTTTTCATTTTCAGATATTTTACCTAGAATATTGAAATTTGAATTTTTTTTATTAAAAGAAGAAGTTCAATAATTGAATAACTTACCTTTCCCTTTAAACAATAATATAGGACCAATTCGAGAATTGTCTTCGCCAAAAATAGTTAAAATGAGAGTGCAGAATCGTTTACTACTAATATGTCCCTCAATTTCATTACAAGTATTAATATCATTAATACTTATTTTACTTTAGTCACCAAATAGACTTAATGGACTTTCATCCATATTGCAAACGTCTTTAGGTGTGAAAGCCCCCATTGGACCTCGTTTAGGTGCCCACCGACTTGATCTTCGTAATAAGTATGAAATTCATGTACTAATTTATGTACTTCATTGAGTGGTATTTTTTGATGTCGGTCTGGCTTTTGTAATGATAAACCATGACGTCGAAGAAAACGACCATACCATTTCGAAGATGGAGCTTCATGATTTAATTCTATACTAATTTGGTTCCCTCTTCTTTGTAATTGTTTAAATGAAACCTTTTCTTTTCTAATCATTATTATATCATTTGGTTGTTTAATAAAACATCGACGTTCTCTATACCATTGCAATAACTTTTGATCAAGATTGGGATAGTGTATTTTTACACCTGCTCCCTGCAAACGTTTTCGTTTCCTACCTAAAATGAAAATAGCAACAATCAACTAGGTTAAATTATTGCTTAATGATTATGTTAAGTAACGGAATGAAAGACTAATCGAATTATCGAAAATGATAAACAACTTGCCATGGTTTTTGTTTTGAGAGAATTAATAATTCTTGTTTTTGTTTTTGCCATTGTGATAACATAAATCTTTTACAATGATTCAGTTATGCCGTTAGGCTTTTATTATTTCCATCTTTTTCTAACTGATTAAATACTTTAAAATTCTTAGCAACGGACCATTGTTGTCGTTTACGTTTAATACCACCAGACACACTTTTTACTTCTATTTCATCATCAGATGGACTTGATGAAGATGTTTTGTCATCAGCTATTGTTGTAATAGCCGATGCTGTTGTAGTTGCATTATTATTGATTTCTTCGTCTTTTTCGTTATCATCAGAATTTATGTTGAAATAAGCATCATAATTAATTATATGATTTTCATGGTCATCGATTTCAGATGTAACTTCAATATCTGAACTATCTGAACTATCACTTTCTTGCTCATCGTTGTTACTGAATTCTGTAAGCGTTTGTAAATGTAATTCAGTGTCCGAAGAAGTCATTTTATGTTAAATTTTGGATTAAACTGATCGAATTAAACGTTTTTTTCTTCTTCTTTCTATAAGACATATAATTATGCACGTTTATGTCTCGACTATATATAAAATGTAAATATACTTTATATGCACAAATTTCATTGGCATGGCGTTCTATTATGTCGAGCGAATCAAACTTTCGGAGGTGGCGTTCTATTCCGGGTGTCTTTCTATTATAGGGTGGCGTTCAATTCTGGGGGGGGG